TATGAATAGAGTTAAAACATTTTAAAAGATTAAGTTAGTCAGTTAGCTAAAGTAATATGTCATTGTTCACATATAAGGATAGATTAATACTGCAATCGCTCGAGTTTCAGGTGGATGAATTAAAATTTACGATGGCGATTTGATGCCTTCAATATGGGTAGCCATCAAGCAATATTTGACCATTGACAATAGTATTTGCCCTCTTATAAGATAGCGAATGGATACATCAATTTGAAGATTAAATAAAGGACTTCCGCCAACTTAAAACTATCCGTGAGAACAAAAGATAGCAGCCACTTTGTGCTTATTTCCGTTAAGTTTTCTTGTGAAAATTAACTCGGGACATATTTTACCCAGCAACTTACTTGTGGAGTGCCTTGAAAGATGAAAAGCCGAGACTGCCTCGGCCTTTATCGGTACGGCAACTGCAATTTATCTGTTTTTTCACAAGAAATCGTCAACTCGCACTACTTCTATGGTTTCGCACAAATTTTATCGGTCCAAATAAAAGAACATGTTTCTTTTCTTTAAGTAAAAGTACCGCTGATTTCGACGAGGTTCACTGTGTGTTCCACACGATGGTGGTCGACTATTAGCGCGTGGATAACTTTTAAGTGTTAGTAGACTTGCGTTGCATCTACCGCAAGCTCTCTTCCCTCACCCGTCTGAGCCCGGCGTCAAGAGAGGACTAAGAAGACCGGAGGCGGTACCGGAGGCAGGTTGCTGGCATGGCGTGAGCCTGCACCGACGCGTGTCACCGCCCCCCTCCCCTCACTCTTGTTCGGCGTTTCTTATGGGAGCCCAACCCGAATAACCCCTGCGTGTCCCGATTGAGCCACCGTGTTGGTCCAAAGCATCCACTACACGGCCCGTTTAGGGTCACAGTAAGAATACAAATAGTATAATTAGCACATAGTAAGTCCAGTTTTCTACAAGAAAAGTGGTTTTTATGCAATACTTATTGTGTGGGTAGGAGATAGATAAGGAGGTGCGGTTTATCGGACGAATTTCGTAGGTAGTTACCGTTTCCGATTCGAAGGCCCGGATATTTTCCCCCAGACGTTCGCTTTTGTTGAGTTCAATTTATTCTGTGTATAATTCACGGCAACATGGAGGCGGGCAATGCACAACAGGATGCAAGTTGGCACTTCACAGGGTCTGTTTGAGAAAGATATTTGGCCTTATTTTTCACAAGGTTTTCACGGGAGCTGTCATGTGTCAATGAGTAAGCACTTCAACTGCAGTGTCACCGGCGATGTTTGTCGTAAAAAACCATGTTTACGCTCTGAGAAGAACAACGCGTGAAAAGTTGAACCATTCAGGTGACCAAAAGTCGTTCGTCGAAGGTGCATATGCTGCTCCTCATATTGTTGGCTACAATTCTCAGGATACCCGAGGACTTTGACCAATAACACAGAACGTAAAAACGCCAAGTATTGAAGCATAGAGAGGTTGTCACATTATTTCAGATTCTCATCGAAGATAAAGCAGAATGGTCTTGCCAAGGGATGCTACGTAACTTACCAGTTGGTTCACAGAGTTAGAGGGAAATTTCTAAGGTCTGTTGGCTTTGTAGGTAGCAAAAGTTAGAGCAAACTAAGTATGCCACTTGATTCTCAATTCGCCGCAGCCATCCAGAAAATAAATGGCCTTGCAAGTAATGTTAACTTTAGATTTGGTATGTTGTAGGACACTTGCGCACAGAGCAGGCCTGCAAACACTGCGGGGAACAATGTGTCGACTTAACAAACGAATGTTAAAGGCGCCCCTCCCCCTTCCGGAAAGATCAAAAAATGTAAAGGCATAACTCCGGCAGGCGGTGGTGGGGAGTTATTATAAGCGCGCAGTCGCTTCTAGTACTGTCGCTCCTCTACTTGGACGCTTTTCCGTCTTCAAGCACTGCAGTGCCGGATTTCGATTCGGGGAACAAAACTACTAGGCATTTCAAAAAGCTAAGGTGAACTTCGTGATGTAGGGAGGGCTGTCAGAGGTGGACCCTAAATGAACAGGAGAACAGAGTCAACGTCTATGAACTTCAAGAAGTCAAGATAGGCGAACGAACGTTTTCGATTAATTCATCATCAGTCTCAAACTCACCATGCGTCAGCACACCTTCTAGCATACCGATAGATGATGAGCAGACAATAACAACTGGTGTCAAAATGCCGCGACCAGCTGACATGAACTAATTATGAGACACGTTCCCCCTCTCCCCCC